GGCAGAGGCAGGCTGTGATTGGGAAGGGGTGTGTGCCAGAGGCCGGCTGTGATTGGGAGGGGGGGTGTTCAAGAGGCAGGCTGTGATTGGAAAGGGGTGTGTGCCAGAGGCAGGCTGTTATTGGGAGGGGGGTGTGTTCAAGTGGCAGGCTGTGATTGGGAGGGGGGTGCGTGGCAGAGGCAGGCTGTGATTGGGAAGGGGTGTGTGTGCCAGAGGCCGGCTGTGATTGGGAGGGGGGGTGTTCAAGAGGCAGGCTGTGATTGGGAGGGTGTGTGTGCAAGAGGCAGGCTGTGATTGGGAGGGGGGGTGTTCAAGAGGCAGGCTGTGATTGGAAAGGGGTGTGTGCCAGAGGCAGGCTGTGATTGGGAGGGGGGGTGTTCAAGAGGCAGGCTGTGATTGGGAAGGGGTGTGTGCCAGAGGCAGGCTGTCCTCGAGCAGGAGGTATGTTCAAGAGACAGGCTGTAATTGGGGGGGGGGGGGGTTCTAGAGGCAGGCTGTGATTTGGAGGTGGTATGTGCATGAAGCAACCTGTGATAGGTCAGGGGGTGTGGTAGCTGAACAAACTACCCAATCCAGGCGTGCCGTGTGTCTGCACAGTGTCCTGTACCTCTCAAAACTGACCACCTAACACAGATCAGCTCCTGTACTTTGTGTGGTCAGTATAGAACAAGGAAGAAAGGTGACTGGAAGGATCAACCAGGTACTTCAGATGGAAGAAGGACATGAAAATGATAGAGAATGTGAAATATAAAATACACGTATGTGAACACGCACAAAGAAAACAAATACATATTTAGGATAACATACACTTTAATATAAGTCTGTTTGTCTCAGGACTGGATGGACAGAAATACAAATCCCTTTGTCAGGAATAGCAGCCCCCCTCTACGTGTCTCAGTGGTATATCTAGCTGTGGCAGTTCACATTAATCACCCATCGGTCCCGGCCCTCCAAGAAGCGGGTGATTTATTATGGTTTCTGGACCCAATATTTAGCTTTGCGGTGACGTGCGGTGGTGCCGATCTGCCTGTGTGGCTACTAATTGATTATTGATTCCGCTCAGCCATGTGCCGTACATACATCGCGAGCATTCCTAACCAACCGGCGTGACAAAGAGATTCAGACAGACGAGGGTCCCGACTCATCCAACTGGTGGGCAAGTCTGAAGTCCTAGTGCTTGAGGGAGTCTGAGAAGGAAAAGCAATACGTAGATTAATTCTCACCTTGTGGCGTCGGTTCCGAGGATCAAGGACACGGCCAGCCTGATTCTAGTGCAAAGAGTAGGATAATGTGCATCAACCTAGAGAACCATTCATAACCTGAGCTATGGGGGGAGGGATTCCAGTTACCAGGAAGTCCGGCACTTGAAGACGAACATTGCTCTTTGATGAAGACTGTTCTGAGTTCCTAGAAAAGCACTCTCAGCCGGGGTTCCTCCAACAGTTACTAAGGGGTTCGTAATCTGGGACTGATCGACCTCCCATTTGATGTTGCCTACATAGTTCAAGGAGCATGATACCAATGATCTTTTTAGCTGTCTGTAAGGGTCATGTTCTTCCCACTGACCCCCAATGTAAGGGACATTCTTCCCACTGACCACCAATGTAAGGGACATTCTTCCCACTGACCCCCAATGTAAGGGACATTCTTCCCACTGACCCCCAATGTAAGGGACATTCTTCCCACTGACCCCCAATGTAAGGGACATTCTTCCCACTGATCCCCAATGTAAGGGACATTCTTCCCACTGATCCCCAATGTAAGGGACATTCTTCCCACTGACCCCCAATGTAAGGGACATTCTTCCCACTGACCCCCAATGTAAGGGACATTCTTCCCACTGATCCCCAATGTAAGGGACATTCTTCCCACTGACCACCAATGTAAGGGACATTCTTCCCACTGACCCCCAATGTAAGGGACATTCTTCTCACTGACCCCCAATGTAAGAGACATTCTTCCCTCTGACCTCCAATGTAAGGGACATTCTTCCCACTGACCCCCAATGTAAGAGACATTCTTCCCTCTGACCTCCAATGTAAGGGACATTCTTCCCACTGACCCCCAATATAAGGGACATTCTTCCCGCTGACCCCCAATATAAGGGACATTCTTCCTGCTGACCCCCAATGTAAGGGACATTCTTCCCGCTGACCCCCAATGTAAGGGACATTCTTCCCGCTGACCCCCAATGTAAGGGACATTCTTCCCACTGACCCCCAATGTAAGGGACATTCTTCCCACTGACCCCCAATGTAAGGGACATTCTTCCCACTGACCCCCAATGTAAGGGACATTCTTCCCACTGACCCCCAATGTAAGGGACATTCTTCCCACTGATCCCCAATGTACGGGACATTCTTCCCACTGACCCCCAATGTAAGGGACATTCTTCCCACTGACCCCCAATGTAAGGGACATTCTTCCCACTGATCCCCAATGTAAGGGACATTCTTCCCACTGACCCCCAATGTAAGGGACATTCTTCCCACTGACCACCAATGTAAGGGACATTCTTCCCACTGACCCCCAATGTAAGGGACATTCTTCCCACTGACCCCCAATGTAAGGGACATTCTTCCCACTGACCCCCAATGTAAGGGACATTCTTCCCACTGATCCCCAATGTAAGGGACATTCTTCCACTGACCCCCAATGTAAGGGACATTCTTCCCACTGACCACCAATGTAAGGGACATTTCTTCCCACTGACCCCCAATGTAAGGGACATTCTTCCCACTGACCCCCAATGTAAGGGACATTCTTCCCACTGACCCCCAATGTAAGGGACATTCTTCCCACTGATCCCCAATGTAAGGGACATTCTTCCCACTGACCACCAATGTAAGGGACATTCTTCCCACTGACCCCCAATGTAAGGGACATTCTTCCCACTGACCTCCAATGTAAGGGACATTCTTCCCACTGACCCCCAATGTAAGGGACATTCTTCCCACTGACCACCAATGTAAGGGACATTCTTCCCACTGACCCCCAATGTAAGGGACATTCTTCCCGCTGACCCCCAATATAAGGGACATTCTTCCTGCTGACCCCCAATGTAAGGGACATTCTTCCCGCTGACCCCCAATATAAGGGACATTCTTCCTGCTGACCCCCAATGTAAGGGACATTTTTCCCGCTGACCCCCCAATGTAAGGGACATTCTTCCCACTGACCCGAATGTAAGGGACATTCTTCCCACTGACCCCCAATGTAAGGGACATTCTTCCCACTTACCCCCAATGTAAGGGACATTCTTCCCACTGACCCCCAATATAAGGGACATTCTTCCCGCTGACCCCCAATATAAGGGACATTCTTCCTGCTGACCCCCAATGTAAGGGACATTCTTCCCGCTGACCCCCAATGTAAGGGACATTCTTCCCGCTGACCCCCAATGTAAGGGACATTCTTCCCGCTGACCCCCAATGTAAGGGACATTCTTCCCGCTGACCCCCAATGTAAGGGACATTCTTCCCACTGACCCCCCAATGTAAGGGACATTCTTCCCACTGACCCCAATGTGACCCCCAATGTAAGGGACATTCTTCCCACTGACCCCCAATGTACGGGACATTCTTCCCACTGACCCCCAATGTAAGGGACATTCTTCCCACTGACCCCCAATGTAAGGGACATTCTTCCCACTGACCCCCCCCAATGTACGGGACATTCTTCCCACTGACCCCCAATGTAAGGGACATTCTTCCCACTGACCCCCAATGTAAGGGACATTCTTCCCACTGACCCCCAATGTAAGGGACATTCTTCCCACTGACCCCCAATGTAAGGGACATTCTTCCCACTGACCCCCAATGTAAGGGACATTCTTCCCACTGACCCCCAATGTACGGGACATTCTTCCCACTGACCCCCAATGTAAGGGACATTCTTCCCACTGACCCCCAATGTAAGGGACATTCTTCCCACTGATCCCCAATGTAAGGGACATTCTTCCCACTGACCCCCAATGTAAGGGACATTCTTCCCACTGACCACCAATGTAAGGGACATTCTTCCCACTGACTCCCAATGTAAGGGACATTCTTCCCACTGACCCCCAATGTAAGGGACATTCTTCCCACTGACCACCAATGTAAGGGACATTCTTCCCACTGATCACCAATGTAAGGGACATTCTTCCCACTGACCCCCAATGTAAGGGACATTCTTCCCACTGACCTCCAATGTAAGGGACATTCTTCCCACTGACCCCCAATGTAAGGGACATTCTTCCCACTGACCCCCAATGTAAGGGCATTCTTCCCACTGACCCCCAATGTAAGGGACATTCTTCCCACTGACCCCCAATGTAAGGGACATTCTTCCCACTGACCCCCAATGTAAGGGACATTCTTCCCACTGACCCCCATGTAAGGGACATTCTTCCCACTGACCTCCAATGTAAGGGACATTCTTCCCACTGACCCCCAATGTAAGAGACATTCTTCCCTCTGACCTCCAATGTAAGGGACATTCTTCCCACTGACCCCCAATATAAGGGACATTCTTCCCGCTGACCCCCAATATAAGGGACATTCTTCCTGCTGACCCCCAATATAAGGGACATTCTTCCTGCTGACCCCCAATGTAAGGGACATTCTTCCCACTGACCCCCAATGTAAGGGACATTCTTCCCACTGACCCCCGAATGTAAGGGACATTCTTCCCACTGACCCCCAATGTAAGGGACATTCTTCCCACTTACCCCCAATGTAAGGGACATTCTTCCCACTGATCCCCAATGTACGGGACATTCTTCCCACTGACCCCCAATGTAAGGGACATTCTTCCCACTGACCCCCCAATGTAAAGGACATTCTTCCCACTGACCCCCAATGTAAGAGACATTCTTCCCACTGACCCTTAATGTAAGAGACATTCTTCCCACTGACCCCCAATGTAAGAGACATTCTTCCCCGCTGACCCCCAATGTAAGGGACATTCTTCCCACTGACCCCCAATGTAAGGGACATTCTTCCCACTGACCCCCAATG